AAGGAGCAGGAACCAGAGCTGTGATAAAGTCAGTTTTGCTTTATAGGGTCAGCCCCTCATCAGCCAGTCATCACAACCAATCAGCCTGAGAGTTAACCCTTCTAAGCCATGTGCGCACAGCAACCAAGTTACAAATACAAAAGGAGGGAAATAAAACCCATAAAAGGGACACCCTTGGAGCACCTGGCTCAGGTAACCAGAAAAGATTGCACTACTGGTTCCCATAGGATACCTACTACATAGGGCACCCTACAAAGAGAGGGAGATATAGGAGTCCTACCTAATACACAGAAAAAACACAGGGAGGAAGCCAAAACAGGGAGACAAAGAAACATGTCTGAAATGAAAGAATAGAACGAAGCTCCAGAAAAAGAACTAAACAAAATGAAGATGCAGCGTTCAAAACACTGTTTATAAAAATACTCACTCAACTTAGGGGAAGAGTAAATGCACTCAATGAGAACTACAACAAAGAAATTTTAAAAACAGAAAAATGGAGAGAGAAAACATGAAAAAGCACTCAGAAATGAAGACTACAATAACTGAAATGAAGAATACTTTAGAGGAAATTGATAGTAGATTAAATAAAGCAGAGAAACAAATCAGAGATTTAGAAGATAAGATATCAGAAAACACTCAGAACAACAGCAAGAAAAAAAAGAATGCAAAAAATGAGAATAGTTTAAGGGCCTTCTGTGACAACATCAAGCATACCAAAATTTGCATCAGAGGGGTATCAGAAGAAGAGAGAGAGTAAGAAATCAAAATCTTATTTCAAGAAATAATGACTGCAAATGTCCCTAACCTGGCAAAGAAAATAGACATAAAAGCCCAAGAAGCACAGGAGAGAGTTCCAAACAAGATGAACCCAAAGAGGCCCACACCAAGACACATCATAATTAAAATGCCAAGTCTAATGACAAGGAGAGAATCTAAAAAGCAGCAAGAGAAAATCAGTTAGTTACCTAGGAGAGAGTTCCATGAGACTGTCAACTGATTTCTCAACAGAAACTTTACAGGCCAGAGGAATAGCAAGAAATATTCAAAGTGATGAAAAGCAAGGAGCTATAAACAATGTTACTCTACCTAGCAAAGCTATTATTTAGAAGTGAAGGACAGATTAAAGAGCTTTCCAGACCAATAAAAAAAAAAAAAAAGCTAAAGAAGTTCGTCACCACCAAACCAGTATTACGAGAAATGTTAGAGGAAGCTATTTAAGAAGAAGAAGAAAAGATTAATATATGAATAATAAATGGCGATAACTACATATCTAGCAACAATTACTTTAAAAGTGAATGAATTAAATGCTCCAATCAAAAGATAGGGGATATGCTGCCTATAAGAGATTCACTTCAGATCAAAAGACACAAACAGACTCAAAGTAAAAGGATAGAAATATTTCATGTAAATGAAAACAACAAAAAAGCTATGGTAGCAATACCTATACCAGTCAAAATATAATTCAAAACAATGGCTATGACAAGAGATAGAGAAAAACCTGCTCATTTCACTTCTGAGTGTTTATTTGAAGAAACCCAGACATTACTTTGAAGGGACGTGAGAATCCATACCTTCAATCCAGTATTATTTATAATAGCCAAGACATGGAGTCAACCTCAGTGTCCATCAATGGGTGAATAGATAATGAAGAGGTGGTGCATATGTAAAATGGGATATTACTCAGCCATAAAAAAGAATGAAATATTGCCATCTGCAATAACAAGGATGGACCCAGGGAGTAATCTGCTAAGTAAAATAAGTTGGACAGAGAAGAACAAATGCCATATGATTCCACTTACATGAGGAATATAAAAACAAACAAACAAACAAACAAAAATTAAAGAAATAAACTCATATATACAAAGAACATTTTGATGGCTGCCAGTTGGAAGGGGGTGGGAGTGGAAAAAGGATGGGATTAAGAAGTACAAATTGGTAATTACAAAATAGTCATGGGGATGTAATATATAGCACAAAAAATACAGTCAATAATATTAT